GTGTATTATATAAATTCAGTACACACAGACTGAAGTAGTTTAAGCTGTTGGGTCTTTTAATTGTGATGATTTTGGGCCACATTTAACAAAAACCCACCAATTCACAATCTTTTGGGGTTTTTTGGGGGTTATTGAGTTTTATACCATGAGAGTGAGGACATTTTGGGTGTTCATCACTTTCTGACACAGTTAAATCTGTCATTTTCTGTCTGAAAGGAGAAATTACAACTTGAAATGGCAGCCTATGACAAACAACCTAAATGAGATCATTGTAGCTTAAGATGTAAAATTATAATTCAGTACTTGTTATTAATAAAATTTCACCTGTTTAACACAGTTACTATACATTTGTGTGCCCTACAGCACGTTAGATGTATTGAATTTGATTGATCTGATTAAAATAAAGTATAAACGTAGAATATAAAATACTAAAAACTGTTCTCTTTTGACAATGCTCCAAGTAGATAATGCTGTATAGTTTTCCCAAAACCCATCTGGTGGTCTCTTGCTGCTGTAGGATGTCACTGCAGACAGCAGGGCAGGAATGGTAGCGTCCTGGTACTTGTAGCCAGGAAGTCAAAGAGAGCGGGACAGAGCAATCAGCCAGGTGGTGCTGCCCGTCGACAGGCCGGCTGGTGGAGGAGGGGGGAGGGTGCTTGTCTGGGTTCATCTCCTACTGTCAGCCTAAATTGGTGTTTCAAGAGCAGAAATGTCAGCTTGTTTGGCACGCGGTTTGTTTGCTTGCGTTTCCAACACACAAGCCCACAGCAGGTTATCTCCTTGTAATTCCTTTGAGAGTGTAAAAACATGCACACATACACAGGCTGGCGACTGGAGCCATTTCCACTCCATTACAGAGTGTACTGTCTGTCGTAGAGCTGGGTGAAATGGAGCATGTCCATACATTTGTCTCCTTTACTCTTCCCCCATCCTCCGCTGGGTATGGATTGGTCTTCTCAAAGAGCTGACCTTTATCAGCAGATGGAGAAGACTACATCTTGCTTCTAGTTAAAGCCAGTGAGACCGTTTCTGCTCTGTATTCAATAACACGCCAACTATGTTCCTATCTACAAACTGGAATTCAAATTGCCCTAGGCGTAGTATTACATTTTGCCTGTGGCTTTAACAGCAGTTAAAGACTCTATAGGAGCCTTTGAGCTTTTAACCTGGATCTGTTTGGTGCCACAGCTGCACATGCAACTGAACTTTGTGGCCTGCAGGCCATTTAATATACTCTTTTTGGCATACTTGTTAGATTAATGCAACACATTGGATTTCAGGGTCTGTTGTCTTTTTTTTTAATCTTGGAGATACATAGTGAAATGTAATGCGACTTTATGACCAACAAAGCTATTTGAAAGCTTCTTTAAATCGTTAATGATAAACATTTGGTTTTGATGACAGACTACGGCTTTTTGGACGCCATTTCTTGAGACGTTTTGTACTATTGGTGAACAGTCATATGAAGAGAAAACTGTCATAAAGCAGGCAACGACACCAGCCTCTTCATTGACAGTAGCCCCTGTAGAACAGAATGCAATGCAGCTCCGGATTTCATCCTGGTGAATTTGTTGTCAGTAGCTTCATGCAGGTACGATACATGAGGTTCCCTATCAACAAACTTGTTTTTGCCTGAGAAAAAAAAAAAACAACCTTTCAGTGTTGTTTTTGTTCTTCTAACCTCCACATACACAGCACAGAGAACCCTGCTCTCTGGGGGAATTGTACAAAATTTGATCTTGAACTAGAGAAAATCAGTAACTAAGGTGGAAGTGGATGAGAGGTTCAAAGAAGGAAGGTGCTCTGAAGTCATTTATAAAACAAATGGGTTGAACCTCACAAATTGATTACATCTTAATAGTTTTTGCGCATACTACGGTATGCCGGATTTTACTTTTATTGCATAGTATTGATGGCCCCAATGGGAAATCATCTCCTTAAAGTACATTTCTGCTGCATTTTAGCCATTGAGCCACACGAGCCCTTCTTGTTTTGTATGCAGACTTCCACCTGTGCTAGAGAATGAGAGCGAGAGAGTGTACAGTCCTAACTTTATGTTAGTGAGATGGGGATGGTGCTGTGGAGGCCTGTTAGATCGTCGACTGTGTTTCCAGGACGACAGAGTGATAGGTCTTCAGGCAGATAGACAAGATCACAGAGGTGTGAAGTGTCAAGGCGTGAAGAGCTTATTTGCATGTTGGTGTGTAGGTGTACAGTGAAACAGGTATTAAAAGCAGAGCGATGCCTAAACATGTTTTGTGGCTGATGAGCTGAAGCGCTAAGGAAAATTTCAAAATTAGTGAGTTTTTTTTATTCAGTTTCACATTAATTTTACTTTTCAAAGCTTCATTGGGTTTTACAGTTTGTGTGACCTGGTGTTGATAGCTGTGGGCATGCGAAAGTACTTTCGGTGTTTTCAGTGCCTGACAGGAATTTGCGACAGGTTTAGTAAATATCCCCCTCAGTTTATAATCATTTTACTATTTTTTTCTTTTAATTCTTAGCTGAAAATGCCTCACTGACTTTGCTGATTGTTGTGTGATGACGTAGTTTTTAGTGAACTGTGTTTTGAAGTGTAAAACTGTAACGTAACGCTGCTGCTTTTGTTGTAGATGTTGAAATTGGTATCTTGTAGCAGCATCTGCCGCACTGACTCAGCCATTCAAATGAGAGAATACACACAGTGTAACATCTTCAAGGCATTAATCACGGTCTGTTGCAGGCTAACATTCATCTCTCTGTTCAGATTTAGTCAGTGTCAAACTCTGCTGTTTTCATGCTGAGAAAAATCGCCTATCTTATTCCACCACAGCTTTGCTTCATTTTACATCATTTATCATGGTGAAAGCTGTTGTTTGCTGTGGGAAATTTCCAAGTGATATTGAAACCGTGGTGCACAGATGCTTTATACACACATCTGAGTCTGCTTTGTTGGTTATGACTAAGCTGTGTGTGTGTGTGTGTGTGTGTGTTTGTGTTTGCACAGGAGATGGAAGAGAGAATCCAGCATTTTGATACATTCCAGTGAGATGGAGAAAATTTACCAATCAGGTAGATTCTGAACTGCCTGGGACCACGAAGAGACACACAAACTGAACAAGAGTGAGAGTGTGAAGGAGTTTCTGAGTCCAGCCCTCAACACAAAAACACACATACAGAAAACCCACTGCTCCTCTTGTACTGGGAGGGTGCACGACGAGAACAAGGTTGAGGACGGAGACATTCAATGGTGCTATCGTCTCAGGAACCTGGCCAGATCCAGACCCATTCTACACAACCAAACCCCTGGAGGTGTGTCAGTCACACGCACGCGCGCTCACACACACACACACACACACACACACACACACACACACACCAATGGTGACGGGCAACCCTGGTGCTACTCGGGTGCTATCCTAACTTCTATCCATGCTGCTCTTGGGATTACTTTTTAACTTGGATGATTAGCAAAAGCAACAGATCGTTTGATGTCATGTCGCAACCTGGCTGCCTCTCTCCGGAGCAGGCCATGCATAACCCCCCCGCCACCGCCATTTGGTTGTGCATGTATTCTTTAAAACACACACCACAAATCCACGCACACACATCTTTACCAGCAGAAGTATGATTGCAGAATGCCGCTAGGAGATGAGGACAGATAATGTTCTGAATCACTGAACTACACTGCTGAGCCCATCTTACTCTCAAGTGGAACGCTTCATCATAGCCCACTTACTACCACGCTACTTTGCGGCTCATTTTTTTTGCCACTTTGTACTTGATTATGTGAGCCACAAAGAAGTTTCAGCGTGAACACAAACCCGGTGACTAGAATCGATGATGCTCTCTTTATTACAGCAGCCATCAGGTGTGGGGAAGATGTGGGGCCCCCTCTGTGTTTGTCTCTGAGTTAATGGTAGCTTGTAGGTTAACTATAAAACCAGCTCAATTCAGACGTTCGCTCACAGACCACCTCTGGCCTTCAGTCTGATTGTGGTAGCGTAACACCCCACCACCCAAGCCACATTATGAATGTTTTCCCTCCCGTTCAAATTGTGCCCACCAGTAGGTTTTACTTTATTTATTTTTTTCATTGACATCCCAGCTGAGGAAGTGGAAGCAGTACAAATTGGAATGCGTCTGTAGTTTGCACTGCCTAGCGTGTGCCTTATTTAAAGCCTCATTTGAAACTTAGCAGGATGGTTTATTTCCTTGTGACAATGAACCATATCCAAGCGGAGGTGAATCTTAACCAACTGAGGTCACGGTGACCTTGAAGCAAAAATTCTATGTCTGTCAACATCGTTGAGGCGATTAACATATCTAGGTTACACATCTCTAGTTGGTTTTCATTCCAACCTGGGCCAAAAAAAAGAACTGAAGGCATTTGAAAACCTGAGGAATACAATATATTCACTTCTTTGTCGGTGTCAGGCTCGATATGTCTGAAGCACTGGAAATATTATATTTAAATGTATTCATGCCCTAGTTTAACCCACACCAGTCGGGGGAGGCCGGTCTCCACCTGAGCAGGCAGCGGGTGTAAGGAGAGGTTGACAACACCAGCTTTTCTTCAGTTTTTCATATGCAAAAAATAATGATGTGAGTCGAATCATCTGTTGTGCCAAGTGTTATCCCACTCCTTCAAAAGGTGCTGACAAAACAGTGCCTGTTCACAGGAATCCTGTTTCAACTATGAAAACGTTAGATGGTCAAAGCAACCTATGTCTTAAGTTGTGTATTTGCTAATTATTTTTTACTTTTTTATAAATGTGCTTTGCTTGACATTGCATTTGCTTGATTTTGCATGGGTTGTGAATCCATAATGAACAAGGCCATTCTAGGCAGTGCCCGTCACTAAGGTGTATAAAGCATTACCTGATTTTATTTTTGGTCTCCTTTTTGATTGTGTGTACTGACTTTATTGATTCATTTGATTCTATGTTCTCAACATTAGACGAGATGCTAGATTCTCATCTGTGGCCGATGTAGTATACGTTTTGTGACGGCAGTAAATTGAGGTATTTACTAAAGTTGGTCACATTTTCATGGCATGTTCATGCTTTTGAAGGTGTCATATTTTGACCAGGTGTAGACTGGAGAAGGCCCCTTCTTTCTCTCAAGGCACCCTTGTCTAATCCTCAAACCTCCCAGCTCACCTCTGCCTTTTCTAGGAGACAAAAGCAAAGCCCATATGCAAACTGGCAATGACAGGTTAGCACTTGGACTACTGCAGAGAGAAAAACCAACGCTACCTCAGCCTAATTTATTTTAATGCGAAAACTGTTTACTGGGTACAAAAACAGTGTTTTTCTCCCCGCAAAGTACTGTTGCAACATCTACAGTACCGTCAAAGGTACCAGATCAGTGCGACCACCGCTGCTTTGGTAATCCAAGAGTCATTTATATCTCTGATTATTCTGTACGTTTGCATTTGAGCCAGATGATGATTGCATACATTTTAAGGATTTGTCGTGGACTTAATATGCTTTAGTTTCAGGTTCTCTGCCTTTTTACACTGAGGAGCCATCATCGATCTGCTCCTCCATTTTTGCAGCTCGTACGTTCATAGAAGCTAAAGCGAGCATAATGCACAGACCAGGTAAGATGTCTATGAAACTACATGTGTATAAATTTTATTGACAGGCCTTCACAGCTTCAAATTCTGTTTTTATGCAGTTTTTCATCTCATAATTGATTATTTATTATAAAACATGTTTTACACCTAATAATCAGTAAATTGTGTTTTTGTACATTTGAAGTGGAGCGAATGGGGAAGCATCAACATGTCTTTTAACCATTTTACTGAATTGTGTAGCGTTTGTGTAGCATGTTTATTTGGTGTGTACGGGGGGTGGGAATAAAGGGTTTACAGGTCTCTCAGGTTCAACACACAACAACATGCCCTTTCAATGTTTCTATTTATTTCATTGTTATGTCTTCTTTGTTACAAGTGGTTACAGACTGTGGCATACTGGAAGAGACGAACATTAGGACACAAGTAATGTGTAAAACGTAGTGTCTGCCTCTTGCGTCCCGGCAAGAGAAACAGGAAGCTTGGTTTCAACGTTCACCTGATGCCAAAAGAGTTATTTTTATGGCTTTAGAAACACATTTGGAAATAAAATGAGTAGTTTAAATGTCATACATTGTAATCTTCCTTTCCTGTTATAAATTGTAGCCAGTTTGGACTAACACCAATTTTTGTCTGGTAGTTGAGACTACTTAGTCCAGTATGCAGAGGGAAAGGGTTTGTTCTATCTTGAATTACTTTGTTCGTCCCTATTTTTTCACAGCTAATTTAGTAAAGACTTTTTCATAGCTTTGTCAGTTCTGTTTGTGTGTTTAACACACCTGTTTGCAATTGTTACTTTAGTGTAAGTTATATTTGAAATGAAACATTTACTGTATTTCTCAAATACTGCTGTGATATACTTGAATAAAGGTGCAAACTGAATATCTGCAGTGTTTTATTACTGTCAATTTCCACACCTGAACTTTATAAAAAAAAATTTTTTAAAAACCTGTGGGAAAAGCAGATTAGATTTGTTGAGAGGCCGGGGTTACATAGATATTAGTGATGACATTTATGGGATTTTTCCATTACAGGAACCTACCAAAACACGTCGAGCTGAGTAACACTTGTCACTGCGTTTGTTTCCACTATGGTGCGTTCCCCTCAGGAGGTAGTACTAATATCAAGTAGCAGGAACGCTGCACAAAGTACACATTAACATGCACTTTACAGGTCAACTATGTCAACGTTTTACAAATTGACACACAATGTGCAAACACTTCCTTTTTGGCTTTCCATACCTAATGTGCCTCATTCTTGTCTTGTGGTTTTTCTACATTCAATCTGTCAAGGACAAAAAGCACAATACAGTGAATCAGCTTCTTAAATAAAAAGTAAAATTGACTATTCCTGAACCACAAAATAGACTTTTTTGGTTGTACAAATTCACTAGTCTTGTATGAGCTCTAACCTTTGACCCTAGGACCTCTGACCCCTTCCTGCCAACCTGTTTGCAGGTAAAAGCCCCTAAAGCGAACACGAAGATAAAAGAATAAACTTAAAGCACTGCATTAATAATGTAGTGAATCCCACCCGGAAAAGAAGATTTACCAAGTTAGAGATACAGTATCAGCCATTGCAAATGTTATCAAACTGAACTTCAGTCAGAGAGAGGAACATGGAAAACTATCATTAGAAGACCCTATGTTAAATTAACACAAATTGCTATTATGCTGAGATTCAGCAAAAATATCAGATACATAAATGGACAGTCTGTCAAGCAATAAGCTGAATGTCTGAATGAGATCAACATCTTGGGAGGGATTTCTAATTCTTACTGGCTCCCCTATTAACAAACCAATATACATACAGAGAGCACCCTGATACCAAGCCTGTCTAGACCCAGATGTATCAGCAGTCCAACTTGGTCTAGGTCAAGACTGGCTTGGTTTCACACCCAGAGTTTGCATTGCTTTCAATATTTGTACATTATTCACACAATAATAAGTGATTTTTAGTGGCACAAGAATTAAATTAACCTTGGACAGAAAAATAAAACGCCTGCTACCTTCATGTCACATCTGGAATACTTCCAGATAACGCAAGGGTGGTGCATGATTCACATTGATAAGATGTAAAACAATGCCCTAAACAGGGCAGGGCTAGTGCCATTGATTAAGCACATTAATGGTCATAGCCAGGAGAGTTCATCTCCTCTGTCAAAACAACCGGTGCTTCCCCTCAGAGAGCCCCCCCACCGTGGCACCAAGGACACCTCCTCCTCCAAAGAGGACTGAACCATCCAGCCCAACCGGTCTGGATCACCACAGCTCAGCAGACCCCCACCCCCTAAACCCAAAGGGTCTGTTCAGTAACCTGTCCAAGACTGGACCACCACAGCTCAGCAGACCCCCGACCACTAAACCCAAAGGTTCAGTCACCTGCAAACAAAGAGAAAGAATAGTCCAGAGTTAGTAAACCCCTCCATTCCTCCCAAGCCCCAGTTAAAGCATGAGAATATGTAAAAATGTGAGTCTGCTCTTCAAACCATCACTTTAGGATTAAATAGATAAAGGACAAAGGATTAAAATGAACAAATTATCACTACTTTGTAGCTAATTAGCTTTTTTAAATTTATAGGTACATTATCTTTATATTTACACAGTGTTTAATATTTTTAACGATATTTTAAACTGAATCAGCAATAACACATGACCTTACGGTTCTTGTCATGTTTACTTGTTTTTGTCCAAATATTACACAAAATATTAGGTAAAGTTAAGTGTTTTTGTTGCCATATGCTAGTTGTAACTTGTGCCAGTCCATCACATAGGCTAGACACTTCAGCAATAGATGTATCTACACCCACACCTTCTGTGATATGGTGCCTCAATAGTATTTGCAAAGTGCATCAATGCTTAATAAACTTTATGCAACTGTAAACATAGTTCGGCAAAACCTTTGACTAAAGGTCTAAAACCCACATCAAAGAAGAATAAACTATATTTTCTAATCTAGCCAGTCATTCCTGAGCAGTAGACAAAAAAAATCTTAAATTCTTTAGACAAATTCTGCACATGGACTTACTGGGAGAGTTCAGTGACTACATCTAGGCTTTCTAAGTTCTATTCGGAATTACTAAAAGATGTCTGCAAAGTAGAAATTCTGTTTTACACTCAGAGCATGCAAGCTTTTGTGTTACTGTAATGTTTTCTTTTTTGACTGCATAATTCACGCTATGATAACTTGTAACAGATGCACACTTTTTAAGGTAAGTTTAAGGTTTACACATGGTGAAGGAAGAAGGCCACAGTACATTTTATTTCTTAGTTTTACTTGTCATCGGCCATGTTTTTTTTTATACTCACTGTAACAGTATCCACTGATTTAAAGATGAGGCTAGAACATCAAAACTGAGGTGTCAGAAGTTATTTTAGCAAAATAGCTCACAGCCAAAAATACGTATTGTGAGGTGTGACACGCAGAGTTCTGAGAAAATGAAAGGGCCAAGGAGGAGTTTGGGCAGTTGATGTGGGTTCTTTTAATTTGAGGGAATCTTTGTTAAGAGAACTGAAAAGTAGGTCACTTAAAGTATGATATGTGAAACTGACTACTAATCTTCACATTACAGAGGGAGAGTATTTGTCATACAAAATTTCCAAAATGTTGGCAGTGAAATTTATGATTCAGTTACTCACAGTCCATATCAGCATAATAGGAAAGCAGTGGGTCCCCTACCATTATATTAGCGCCCCCCCTTTGAAGGTCAATTTAATTTTATTTTCTATATATCGCCGGGTCACAACAGAGGTCATTTAAGGTTACCTTTCCTATAGAACAGGTCTATTATTAAAAGGTTCTTTTATTAAACAAATTAAATAGCCTTATGTTATTTATTTTATTTACACGAAGACATCTCTACATAGTTGCACGTTTACAATTGTCCTCTGCTCTCTGTATCGCGCACGACGGAGTTCTGCCCCGATGCACGCACACAGACAGACAGACCTGTTTTTACTTCGACGCACACAGTTATGTCCCGTTACTACGGTGGCCTAGATGGTGGGACATTATGTTCATGCTGCTGTCTGTGACTCTGCAATATACATGCTCTTGAACACAATAAGTCTAGAAGAAGTCAAAGCAGACACTCTATACCTATAGTCTGATAGGAATTTGCATAAATGTGCATTTTAATGAGGGGAGTGATTTCACAAAAAACTGCATGTTAACCTAACACATTCAAATTATTACCAAATAGATACCATTATGCAAAAAAAGTATGTTGGTAGGAAAATAATACAGATAGAATGCAGCAAATTGCAGTACTAACTCACGTTACCAGTAGGAATCCTGCTTTACACTTTCCCTCCAAGAACAAACTGACACTACACCGCTTCTCTATTAAGCTGTGGATGGGTAAGTTCACCAGAACAATAAAACAATGGTGTAATTTCTTACATCAATTTGTACAAAATATTCTCCATCTTCAGAGACGCTCTGGGTGGTCATTTTTAGGATGCAGTGTAGGTGGTTTATTGTATTGTTTATGAAGGACGTCTTTGTTCTTCATAAATAAAGGTAGGTGACACTAATCTCACTTGAGGTGGATTCACTAGCTTTTGTAGAGCTTTTAATTACCTTCACAGGCTTTCTCATCCATGTTGGCTTCGTACTAAATTTTGAATATAGACCTTGTGGCATAAGCAAAACCTACAGAGCTGCTAAAATATACCTGTATTTTGTTCAAAGTAAAATTGTATTGAGACTGTAATAGTACTTTATTACTCATGTTCACTTGCTGTGTTTTGGCAATATGCACAACAGTAGGACTAACCATACTTTGCATAGATGAACTACATACATATTGTGTATATATTTCCCCCAGCTGGCTTGTTTGGGGCCACCACTATTATTTCATGAAAGGCAAGTAACTGTAAAACAACATATTTGTTGAATACGGTGCACCCAAATAAAGAATGCAATAGCCCTTTAATGCTAGTCACTGTGCAGAATAATAATAGAGTGCATTTCACGATGTATATTTGATTATAATTTCTGGTGCAT